CCAATAGTAGGAGTTGGTATGTAGGAACATAGCATCCTTCTCAATATATTTATACAGGGCTGGGGAACCTGTGGCCTGCAGGCCAGATATGGCTTTTTGACTAAGTCCAAGTTTTACAGAACAAATATTTTTATTTAGGGGGATTTGTCATGCAAAGTTTGGATTCACTCAAAGGGTCACACTTGGGACCTGGAGGGCCATGCGTGGCCTCAAGGCCACAGGCTCCCCACCTTTGAATTCTAGGCTACATGAGAATGCTTTGTGAATGACATCTCCTCTGCTATACTAGTGAGAGCCAAGGTGGGAATGTGGATAGAAAATTGGCTTAGGACTAAGGAACGGATAAAGTCTATGTCACCTTGAACAAATCAGTTAACCTCAATGTCCTAGGCCTTTGGCTATACCTTCAAGTTGCAAAGTAGGTGCACACTTGCCTGGTAGAGGGAGTTTCCTCACTGGGAGATTCCAATAGCAATGAAATAACAGATGTGTTCTAATCTCATTTCCCTGATTAAACTGTAAACTTCTTGAAGGAAGGGACTGTTATTTAATCTTATTTTTGTTGCATATCCTCAGTACCTGGTACAGTGCCTTGCATTTATTAAATGTCTATTGACTGAAAAAATGAATGAGGATATTTTATGCCCAAATATGTCAAAAATTTAAATATGAGCATTAAGTTTTGTTATTGGTACCTCCACTTTTCAAGGCAGCAAAATGGTGTAGAGGATAGAGCACCAGGCCTGGAGTTGAGAAGACCTTTGTGCAGATTTGGCCTCAGGCACTTTCTAGCTGGGTATTTAGTCATTTTGGTCCTGTCTGACTCTTTGCGACCCCATTTGGAATTTTCTTGGCAAAGATACTGGAGTAGTTTGCCATTTCTTTCACCAGCTCATTTTGCAGATGAAGAAATTGAGGCAAACAGGATTAAGTGACTTGCCCAGGGTCATATAGCTAATAAGTATCTGAGACTGGATTTGAACTTGGGTCTTCCTGACTTGAGGACTGGTTTCTAGCCACTGTTCCAGCTAGTTGCTCAGCTGGGTGACCTTTGGGAGGTCACTTAATCTTTGTCTGCCTCAGTTTCCTCATCTATAAAATAAATATAGAAATAGCATTTACCTCTCAGGGTTTTTCTAAGAAAAAAAAGAGAATTTTGCAAAGCATCTTGTAAAACTTGAAGTACTATGTTATTATTATTATTATTATTATTATAATTATTATTATTATTTCTAGTCTCTCCTATATGTCTCCTTTGCACTTACACAGCAGCCATTCTAGAACAGGCTTTTATCACATCATTAATGGACTAATGTAATAACCTGGTTGGTCTTCTTGTTTCATGTCTGTCTGTCTGTCTCTTTCCTCACTCCAATCCATTCTCCATTCAGCTACCAAAATGACTTTTTAAATTTTTTTTTCAATTAGTAAAAATTTGCCTCCTCTCCCTCTAACTTACCCTGCCCCCCAAGGACACAAGAAAAGCAAATCCCCTGTTACAAACATGTATAATCAAGCAAAAAATAATTCTGTGTTGGACATGTTTAAAAGAAAAAAATCGTGTATATATGCATACACACAAACATATTTTGATTTTGCACATGTCCATTGTGGAAATCAGGTTTGTGTATGTATGTAAACACTTATGTACAGAGTGGAGACATAGCTATACTGTGTATCTACGTATAAATATACAAATATATGTACAACACACACAGTAGCATCTGCCTAAATCTACTTATTATTTTCTGTTGTATAGCTATACAATTGAATATACACCTATCTGAATACATACATATGTGCGTATATTATATGTATGAATATCCACCAGCTTTCTATCAGGAAATGGGTATCATCTTTCATCAGTCCTCTGGAATCATGGTTGGTCATTAGGTTGGATCAGAGTATCCAAGTCTTTCATTGTTCTCTTGCTTTTGTTCACTTCATTCATCAATTTATACAGGTATTGGCAGATTTATCTAAAACTATTGCCTTAGCGTTTTATCACATTTATATAATATAACTTGTTAAACTATTCTCCAGCTGATGGGCACTCCCTCAAATTCCCATTTTTGGCACCTCAAAGAGAGCCATAGTTTTTTACATCTTCATACATTTTAGTCAACTGGCAAATAGAACTTTCCCTTATATTTGCCAGTTGACTGAAATATATATCTGTACTCAACTGTGTGTGTGTGTGTGTGTGTGTGTGTGTGTTCTTCCCTTTTTTGACCAGTTGTAGTAAGAGTAAGGAGTAAGGTTCAAGTACAAGCCACCCTCCTTCTTCCTCATGGATTTCTACTTGTGCACCCTAATTATGTAAGATACTTTCCCCTAATCTTTTTCCTTCCCCTTCTAAAATCATCAAAGCATAACAGAACTATTCTCAGCCTTCTGTCTAATTAGACTCCTTCTAGGACCCCTAATGGTGATAGTGTTCAGAGGGGAAACATGAATCATCTCACTATATTAGAATGTAAGCAATTTATCTTCATTTAATCCCTTATAATTTTTCATATGTAGTTATCTTTTTGTTTGTCTTAATTCTTGTATTTGAACTGAAAGGTTTCTATGCATCCTTTTCATCAGAATTACTTGGGAGTCCTCTATTTCATTAAATGTTTCTCCCCGCCTCCCCCAGTTTTGCGGTGTAGGCTATTCTCATCTATAACTCTATATACTTTGTCTTCTGGAATATCATATTCCAAGCTTTCTTCTCCTTCATAGTGGTAGTTTCTAAATCATGTGTGATTCAAATTTTGACTCCTTACTACTTGAATTAATATTTTCTGGCTTCTTGCCATATTTTTTTCTTTGACCTGAAGTTCTGGATTTCAACTATAATATTCCTGGAGTTTTCATTTGGGAGTTTCTTTCAGGAGATGAAAGATGAATTCTTTCTATTTCCTTTTTGCCCTCTTTTTCTAAGAGATCTGTGCAGTTTTTTTTCACATTTTTAAAATTTTAAAATTTTAATTTTTTTATTTTTAGGCAATTGGGGTTAAGTGACTTGCCCAGGGTCACACAGCTAGTAAGTGTCAAGTGTTTGGTCTGAGGCTGGATTGGAACTCAGATCCTCCTGACTTCAGGGCCGGTGCTCTATCCACTGTGCCATCTAGCTGTCCCTCTTTTAACCTTTCTTGCAATGTGATGTTTAGACTCATTTTTGGTCATGGATTCTTAAATCATTTCTCCTCAGTCTTCCAGGTCAGTAATAGCCTCCTAATTAGAGTTCCTCTATATTCCTCGATGACTATATTCATTCTTCCACATGGAATAGGACAAGTCATTTACCTGCTTAAAAATCTTCAGTGCCTTCCTAAAACAATACCTACCCTGATTAGTCCAAGAGTATCAGTGGGAAAAGTCACTATCTCCTCCTGAGGTGGGTCATTACACTTCTGGATAGCCTTAATTTTTAGGGAGTTTTCCCCATATTGAGCCTAAATCTGATCCTCTTAAATTTCTACCCATTGGACCTAAGTATATTTTATACCTTAAATACATTGTAAATTCCATGAAGGTAGGAAATGGGTCTTTCTAAGTTTTATCTCTCTCTTAATGTACGGCATATTGTTTTGCATGAAATAGATCTTTAATAAATGCTTATTTTATGGAAGAAAATAATTCATAAATTCAGTTATCACCATACATAGCACAATGATTGGAATGCATAATGGGTATAGTGCCTTGGGTATTATAGCCACCTAATAAAAGAATGAATGGATAAATGCTTAATGCAATAAATTTAACCTTTTCACTTGTGAAACTGAACAGATAAAGAAAAGTGAGGTTTCCCCAGTTTATGATGAATTGGTAGTTTTTCTTTTGGCCTTTGCTTTTGGTTCTATAATATTTTTCTGGGTCAACTTGCCATGGAAATAGGTTGATATCAATACATATGAATATGTGTAGGTATGGACACAGATCAGTTTTTCCAAGGAAATTTGCCTTAAAAAGGATATAAAATAAGCTCTAATTGTATACCAGTCACCTGAAACAATTGAGCTAATGGATTATAATCTGATCATGCTTTTCACATTCAGTCCAATTCAATTCCACAAACATTAATAGAACTCCTACATTTTATAAATCATGAAAGGCTACAAAAATAATTATCATACACAGTATGGTGACTGAAAGGCAAAGTAGTTTGTTACCTTGCAGAAAGATAGTAAAAACCTATTAAATGAATGAATATCATGGTACAACTAATTTGGTCTGTTCATCCATCTCTGCCCTTAAGAAGCTATGTGTATTGGACTGCATTTCTAGGTAATTGACATAGTAATACAGAATTATATAATATTAGAACTGGAAGGCATCTTAATCATTTAGTCTAAGCTCCTCATTTTGAAAATGAGAATTCTCAGGCTCAGAGTGGTTAAGAGACTGGCCTAAGGTCTTATAGTTAGACTTCCACCTCACAGTTAAATTAATCAATCTTGATCACGTTCACATTTTTTGGTATAAATATTCAAAAGCAATAATAAATGGAAATAAGAGCAGCAAACCAAATAGATACTTGAACTGGAGACCCGGTGCCTTCAGAGGAGTAGGGCTATCTGTAGGGTTAAGGTAATCATTTCTGAATCTCTGATAAGTCACTTTAAAATCAATATTACCTCAAAATGTGGCATATCGTGACATGAGAAATCATTATGTTAGATATGGGGGTGGGGAATCTATGGACTTGAGGCCACATGTGGCCTTCTAGGTCCGGGGTGAGGCCTTTTGACTGAGTCCAAGTTTCACAGAACAAATCCTTTTATTAAGGGGATTTGCTCTGTGAAGTTTGGATTCAGTCAAAGGGCTACACTTGAGGACCTAGAAGACCACATGTGGCTTTGAGGCCATAGGTTCCCCACCCCTGAAAAATACTGGAGAAGTAAACATATTGAAGCCATTCTGTCGCAAAAAAGCTAGCTGAATATCATCAGTTCTGAATTATCTTGTCATATCTGCACGTCTAAGAAATATTGCAAAAGCAAAGTCCTTACATGTACATGGGCTGTAGTTGTAAATGAGATGTCTTCTGTGGGCCTTGATAGCCATAAGAATCAAATCCACCTATGAAATCAACTGAAAAGAGAAAATTATGTTTATTAGAAACAACTTATAAAAGACATAAACAGAAGCAAAGTTTCACAGGAATTAATAAGGACAGAGTACCTAATAATCTGTTAAACTGAGAGTGACTAATAGTTGTGGATGTAAAAATGATAGTTCCTTCAAGGTAATGACTTTTTTTTGTGGTTTCAGAGAATCAATTACAGTTTTACAAGAATTTTCTTACATGTGAGAAAGAATTATGTACTCATCTCAAATTAGGAAGGCTTAATTGAAATTTTTTTTCTTTGTCTACCTTCCTGCTGGTCCCTTGGTCTCCCCTAAATCCTGATGGTAAGGGAGAAACTGACAAAAGTGTAAAGAGATTGAAGCATGCTTTAGTTTGTAATAATGTTGACAATAAATTAAAGTATTGAAAAACCTGGCTTCGATGAAAATAAAATAAGATACTGTGATTTTATGTGAGGGGGGCAGGGTGAAGGTTTACGCACAGTGAGTCTGACATTCAACACAAACCATCAGTTGCACCAAACATAGCAAGCATGACCTATATATTGTAGGAAACTAATGCTCCATTTATTTAGCAAAAGGGATTGAATCATGCCCCACCCCTCAAATCTATGTACTGGAAATGACAGAAAAATGAAAAGGCAAGATATAAGTAGACAATATCTGATATCTTCATATTGTCTGATATCTCGTTAGTGGTCAGAGATGAGAGAAAAAAGAGGTTAGAAATTGAGTTTCTACAGAAGACATTTTCAAAGACACTATGTAGATGTTTTTTGGAGGGGAGATCAGGAATCTGCTAATTATTGATCAAACATAAATGAACAAGGCCATTAGCTGGTGAAGTGAATAGAGAGCTGGACTTGGAGTCAGGAAGACCTGAATTCAAATACTGCCTTAAACTCTTACTAGCTGTGTGAAAACGGGGAAAGTTACTTAACCTGTGTTCACCTCAGTTTTCTCATCCATAAAATGAGGATAATAATAGTACCTACCTCCCATGATTGTCATTAGGATCACCTATTTGTAAAGCAATTATAAATGCTATTATTGCTGATGTAAGAACCTTGTAAGGAAAGTCTGTTATAAAAAGAAGTCTTGCTTAGGAACCCTTGGAAACAAATTCACTCATGATGTGAAGAAGCTCAGCTACCAGGCAGCTTGCTGTGACATGGACCTGAGAATCTCACTTTTAGCCATTACAGTAAGCGAGAGGAATATTCTAGCATCCAGCATGCAGTGATCATGCTTTTGGAGATTTTGTACATGTCTAATACTAACCACTTGGTCTCAAAATTCAGGTTAGTCTCCCCACTACATAGAAGCAGCTATCTGTCACTGGATAAAGTCAGGAAGAGCTCAGTTTGAAACTTGCTTCAGGTACTTACTAGTTAAATTAACCTGAACAAGTCACTTAATCTCTTTCAGCCTTAGGTTTTGTTTTTTTTTTAAATGTCCTCCTACACTTCCCTTATCAACTCACACTCACACTCTCCACTTCAGCTCTTTCAAAACTTTTCATCTGACCTCACACATTCCATGGCTCCTCTTCCCTTACTTTTTCTGCTGAGAATCTTGCCTCACATTTTACAGATAAAATTGAGGCCATTTTCTACAACCTCCCTCTCCTCTCTTCCTTATCTCTTATCACTCAGGTGCCTTTTGCCATTTTCTCCTCCACCTCTGACTCATGATGAAGTAGCCTTATGCCTTGCCAAGGCTAACTGCTCTACCTGTTCAAATGATCCCATTCCGCCCTGTCTCCTCCAGTCGATCCGCATTTCTTATCTCTACTCTCACTTATTTTCAATCTCTCTCTACTGGCTTATTTCCTACTACCCAAAAACATGTCCCTGTCTCCCCATCCTAAAAAAACTCTCATTTGATCTTTCCCTCCCCCTAACTATCATGCTATATCTCTTTTGCCCTTTGTAGCTAAACTTGAAAAGGTCACCTACAGTAGGTGTCTCCACTTTCTTTCCTCTTACTCTCTTTTCAACCCCTTACAATCAGGCTTCTGACCTTGTCATTCCACCAAAACTACTCTCTCCAAAGTTACTATAGATCTTTGTGGCCAAATCTAATGGTCTTTTTTCAATCCTCATTCTCCCTGAACACTTGATCATTCTCTTCTCTTCTCTCTAGGTTTTTGAGACACCATTCTCTCCTGGTTTTCTTCCTTTTTCACTGCCGCTTCTCTGTCTCCTTTGCTCATACCCTCAATCCAAAGGTGTCCCCCGGGGTTCTGTCTGGGGCCATCTTCTCTTCTCCCTCTATACTACTTCACATGGTGATGTCATCAGCTCCATGGATTTAGTTACCATCACTATGGTTATGATTCTCAAGCCTACCTGCCCCAATTTTTCTTCCGACCTCAAAGCTTGCATCTCGCACTGCCTTTCATACACTTTGAACTATATGCCTAGTGCGCATCTCAAACTCAACATGTCTGAAACAACTCATTATCTTTTCCCTTAAACGCTGGCCCTTTCCTACCTTCCATATTACTGTACAGGGTAACATCATCCTCCCAATCTCTCAGGCTCACAACCTAGGAGTCATTCTAATTCCTCACTAATTCTGCCCCCCCCCCATATCTAAGCTGTTGCCAAGGTCTGTCAATGTCATCTTTTCAATATTTCTCAAATAAGTCCCCTTCTCTCCTCTGACACTGCCACAACTCTGGAACAGGCCCTCATTACCTCATTCATGGATTATTGCAAGAAACTTCTGGTGGGTCTGCCTGCCTCAGGTCTCTCCCCACTCCAATCCATCTTCCATTTAGCCATGAAAGTTATTTTCCTGAAGTACAGGTCTAGTCATGTTCCCCCCCCCCCTTCTCCCCACTCAAACTCCAGTGGCTTTCTATTGCCTCCAGGAACAAATACAAAATGCCTTGTTTGGCATTTAGAGCCCTTCATAATCTAGCCCCCTCTTACTTTGTCAGTCTTCTTACACCTTACTCCCAGACACATATTTTTCAATTTAATAATACCTTCTGGCTGTTCCGCAAACCAGACACTCTATCTCTGAGCTCTGAGAATTCTCTCTGGATATCTCCCATGCTAGGATATCTTTCTCCACCTTTCGTGACTACTGATCTCTTTGGCTTCCTTTAAGTCTCAACTAAAATCCCACCTTCTATAGGAAGACTTATTGGACCTTTCTTAGTTCCAGTGTCTTTCCTCTGTTATTTCTCATTTATTGTCTATCTAGTTATCTATCTATCTATCTATCTATCTATCTATCTATCTATCTATCTATCTATCATCTATCTATGTGTATATATTGGTTTGAATGTTGTCTCCTCTGTTAGATTGTAAGCTCCTTGAGGGCAGGGACTGTCTTTTGCCTCTTTTTGTATCCCCATTCCCTTATTACAGTACCTGGCATATTGTAAGCACTTAATAAATGTTTATTGATTGATCTCTGAAATGGAGGTAATAGTAGCACCTAACTCATAAAGTTGTGAGAGGCAAATGACATATGTAGAGTACTTTGCAAACTTTAAAGTGCTCTATGACTGCTAGCTATTGTTATGAGAAAATAAATGACTGAAGGAATAACTCCTTACTCTTAATCTTTTTTGGGGATTATGAAGTTCTAAGAAAGAAACTGAAGACTTTAGGGACACAGATGGTGTTTTTATCACTGCTGCCAATTTAAGGAAGGGATTTCAGAAGAGAAAAAAAGGATATGGGAAGTGAACAGCTGGTCAAGAAGAAGGTGTCAGAGAATGGGATTTGTATTCTGGGCCATGCTTTAGACACGGGAATTATGGGCTCTTAGCCAGGGGTGAAGTACATCTTAAAGAGCAGGCAAATCTCTCTCTCTCTCTCTCTCTCTCTCTCTCTCTCTCTCTCTCTCTCTCTCTCTCTCTCTCTCTATCTCTCTCTCCACAATACTTACACCTGATTGAAAGGAGCTTGTTATGAAATTGGTGGGGGAGGGAGGAAAGTGCTCACATAAATCTGAATCCATACATAACAATAATACTAGGTATCATGTATCACAGAGAGTAGCAGGTCCAACATAGGAAAAAGAAAATCAATACAGAAGCCCAGACATTTGCAGGAGAAAATATCCAAGAAGGATAGTAATAATACTAAAGGCCCAGTTGTCAACTGTATATTCCTGGTAGAATAGCATTTCAGTTTCTCCTTCCACAGGTCCTCTTCAACATATTCTTTACCATATTTCTTTTACCCTGGTAGTGTTTTTTCTCACATAAATGTTTCTTGATTTACAACACTATTCTAACACCCATTTTTATGTAAACTGTTACTTTTGAATATGGTACTCTTCTACTGACATATTGTAGTCATATATCTCATCCAGCAAACCCAGGGATTTCTGTAAGGTCGAATTTACTTCTTTGTGTTCAAAAATAACTCAGTTTACTTGCTACCACCTCCACAAGCTTTTTGGTGGCCCAATTTCCAACAACCTCTCTCCTCCTTCCATCCCACCCCACCTTTTATAGTGATCTCTGGCCCATTTATTATGAGGCATTCTGCTTGGTGGTCATAATGGCCTACTCCTTCACTCTTGGGATCCTTGCCATCCAGGTTAGGGTTGCCTAATTAGCATACCTACACCTGGGCTTTTTGGACCTTCATCATTAACCTATAGCCCTGTGCCTTGGTGGGTCTGATTTGGTTTTAGGTTCTGGTCATGGCTAAATGTCAGGGAGAGAGGGGACCACCCTAACTCCATTTTATCCCCTGTGTGCAAAAGCTACCATGGCCAAATCTCTGATATCACTTTTCAGCTGAGGATGACCCATTCATTTCCTTTCTCAAATTATTTCTGATCATGAGTTGATAGGTCTGTTTGTTTTATCGACTTCCTATCTCCACAGTTTTTCCTGCTTTCTTAGCAACTCACAAGAATTCCTTCTTGATGTCTGGCACTGTCAGGGTACCTTAGTTTACAAACCTTGAACAAGTGATTAGAAACTCACAGTAATCTATTTTATCTATATTTAGCCAAAATATCTATTT